AGGGTCTAGTTTGATATTCTTAAATGTCGTTATTCGGCAGAGAAAATCATTGCTACAGACACCAATTCGATTCTGGACTCCTGCATCTGGGAGTAAATGGGATATCCAAAAACATGTTCTGTGGACCATCCCCAATTTTTGGGCACAATTTGCGTAACAGGTGCAGCTAGACTGCAAGTCTCGTGGGCAAACATCGCAAAGGTTCAACATCTGTGATGCGCCATTTGAAACCTCATTTCATCCACCCGCTCTTCTTGGGCAAGGTGGACAATATGAACGCGTCCTCAACCACAACTCGCTTCCGTTCTCCCTTCTTTGAGCTCTCACACCATATCTTCAACGTAGCACTTCGAGAACACTGTATCACGCGTAAGTTGAGCCAGCACACACAGAATTCGAGTTGCGAATTTTACGTGTGTCACCAGTCATCTGGAAATTCCACCTCGATTTGGGTCACTATGAATTCTTTTATGTGTTTAAGTGTTTCCTCCTGCAGCACTATAAACTAAATTAGAGTATACCGTAGCTGGGTGTGCTAGCTTAAAAGCAAAAGCAAGTAGAATGCTCTAGCTCTTTTACTTTTCCCACCATTTCTCTAGACATGTTTGAATGAGTTGACCTAATAATTAGTTCGGAATATTAGCCCTAATAATTAGTTCGGAATATTAGCCCTATACTGGACGGTAGCAGCATGAAAACGCTTTATCAGAGAAAGAGCTGTGTGCTCACTCTTGCGATCGCTCCTGCTGCTTATTGTAGAACTCATCGAGGAGTGTATCCAGGCAAAACTGGGGAAATTGAAGTGCTCAAGGAGCTCTTAAATTCTCATTTTCCCGCTTCGAATCCGTGGTCAACTTTATTTGTGGTCTCGGCTCCCTGCGAAGCTCGAAGCGTTCACGCTCACAAAGTCTCTGTTCAGAGAGAATATGAGTTGCACTCACAATCCGCGTAGTACCCATCGCCGAACTTTGTCGGATTCTCTCTGGAAAAATTTTCGTACCGAGCGAGCGAAAATGATGACATGGGCCAGTTGTAACTTGAACGGGACACCGAAGTGGTGGCATGGGCCATCATTGCATCGCCTTGATAAGAAAACTTCGATCGAGTTCAGTGATGGGTACCAGACGGGTAGTAGGTACGAGTCATGTTCTCTCTAAAAAGAGACTTTGTGAGCGTGAACGCTTCGAGCTTCGCAGGGAGCCAAGACCACAAATAAAGTTGACCACGGATTCGAAGCGGGAAAATGAGAATTTAAGAGCTCCTTGAGCACTTCAATTTCCCCAGTTTTGCCTGGATACACTCCTCGATGAGTTCTACAATAAGCAGCAGGAGCGATCGCAAGAGTGAGCACACAGCACTTTCTCTGATAAAGCGTTTTCATGCTGCTACCGTCCAGTATAAGGGCTAATATTCCGAACTAATTAGTTATAAATGCTCCACCATTTGTGTGCATTGCATAAGTGGAGGATTTCCTCATTTGTATTACATGCACACCGTAGCTGAATAGCGTTAGAGACATGAGAAATTCTGAAGAAACTTTAGGATGGCATAAGCAATTGACGCGGCCCATTTTCTTCAAAAGAACAGAGCAATTCAAATCCACGCGTTAACCAAAATCAAACAACACCATTCTTAGTTTTCCGACACGCCGAAAACGATGGTTGCTATGCCGATTTACGAAATTTCCAAATAAGTCAGAAAACTGAAAAAATCAGGGGGTGGCATATACAATTGACGCGCACTGTATTAAATGCTCCATTAACAACCTCCCGGAGTAGCTGAAACATCAACAGGGCCTAATTGGAAGTGTGGAATCAGTCAATGGATGTCAATGCACTGCCTATTTAGACAAAACCCCTCGAATGCCGGGTTCGCCGCCCATATTCCTGGTCTTTTTTCCTGTCAAAATTTCGCTACCCCTTTCCATAGTTTTTCGATGACGCTCAGAACTGCGTCCAAAGCGGCCCTTAAAAGCTCATCATGCTGTCGAAAACACTTCTTTACAGTAGAAGTGTGATCCTTTTGGTCGCTCTATTGCTGGAAGATGCATGATAATGCAAAGCCAATGTCGTGCGGTTGCCATACGTGTGGATACAAAACTCCTTCTGAAACCTAACTGTATACGACTGCCTTCCTCAGTACGCGAACTGTGCAGTGGCCCAGCCTCTTTTGCGATCTGCCATGAAGGCAGAAAGAGTGACTGCACAATCGCTGGTGCTGTCTACAATATCACATACCGCAGTTGTGGAGATGAGTGTATCGGTCAAACAGCAGGCCACTCTACGTGTGCATCGAGGATCACCTTATGGTTAGAGGGGGAGGAGAAGCCAAGCTTGTCAACTGGCTCACGTGCCCACAGAGTGCAAACCCATAATGGGACTGTCTTCAATTTCACGGTCATGGCCTTGATGCCAGAATCGCAGAAACCCGCACTCACGATCAGTCCGGAATATATTTCTTCCGCTACCGGCTTTTGGGAGGTCTAGAAGTTCAGGGCGAATGACCTATATTACGATTACATGATGACCTCTTCGGTTCCAATGTTGAATGATGGAAAATGGAGGACTGGTCAGGTGATCCTAAATCGCTTCCACTTTTGAAGACTGAAAAGGGTGATTCCGCCGAAATTCCGCGAATAAAGATCAATAACAAGCTTGTGGCGGAAGTGGTGTAGTGGCAAGTGGCACGCTTACCACGCGAGCGGTCCGGGGATCAAATCCTGGGTCGTGAGTCGCCCGGGCCAACCAAGCCTTCCATCCCTCCGGGGTCGGTTAATTGGTACCAGACTTGTCTGGGAGGATAAAAACACTGACTTGTACATCGGCTGGCCCCCGCAAGTCATTGTATAGGCCACATCGCATTCAAACGCCACTACGAATGTACAAATGGAAGTAGAATGCGTGCCGCATCCCAAAAAGGGATTGATCAACGGCAAATGCTTTATCCTTTAACAAGTTTGTGTGGAGTAACAAAAGAAATCAATAAATACAATCATGCCAAGGTTTATGGAAAGGTATAGCGAAAGCTTTACGAACTTTAGCCATGAGGTTTCAGAAGGTCAAACGCGCAATGCGATACTATGAATCTATGTAGACCATGGACAACAACAATGAACTTCCTGCGCCATCAGTTGGGCGCGTTTCCGAATGCTACCATCACAAAATCCAACAGACACTTGATCATAGAAGATGCACCATTGCTCTCCTCATTGTCAAATGAAAGAGCACTCGAGTGAGATATAAGCTCGAAGAACCTAAAAGTCTTTGGACAAATGTTTCGGCCGTAACTTTCCCCACCATATTAAATTTATAAAAATATGACATGTTTGAGGTCGAGCCTGCTTCACTAAATTAGCGTATTCCGTTGAGTAGGAGAAGGAGAGAAGAATTCCATATTTGCTGGATATTTCCGAATATGATCAGATTCCTGGTAAAAATATTGCGAAAAATTTATAACTCAACAGAACAACCAACATGATAAATAATATTTGTTGACAAATTTCTGAAACCGCTAAAACCATAGTATGGAATCTCTTAAAGGCAAACCCCGGGATTAGCCCGACTAGTAGGAAGGGATTCCACGAGGGAAATTGTAAGGTCCGTACGTAACTGGATCACTCCAGCTTCGTCGCAAAAACTGCGCGGTTAGGGCGCTAATCCTTACGGGCCCGCAACCATCGACTCCCTTTCCAACGCATCCCACCCACCGCGAGAGGTGGTGAGATCAGCGTGCATTGATGTAGAGATCAGCGTGCTCTCTCAAACGACGTGCTCTCTCGCGTATTTTGTCTTCTTTGACCGCCCTTTCTCGCCATCGTACCACATCCGACCCTATTGAAGGTTAAGGCCTTAATTCAGCGTTCCCAAAGATTTCTCTTGCTTTCCTTTCCACTTTCAGGTCGTTCCGCAGCTAAGCTATCACTACAAAGCGCTGATAGCACCTGTTTAATCCCGGAGTTTGCCTTTAATGAATTCACTGCCTATTGGGACTCCTCCCTCCATTTTTCCTAATATTTGACGGAATCTCACCTCCATATACTGTCTCTTTTGCCTGCATGATTTCCTTTTCTTTTTGCATAGTACCGCAATGACGCTCGGGACGTGTAAGCGAATTTTCCTGCTCGTTAAGGCTGCTTTCATACTTCGCGCCGGTGCGGTCGGTGCGGTCGGTGCAGTCGGTGCCGACGGCGCCGACCGCACCGACAGTGCGAAGAGCGTCAATACGCGCTCTGGCGCATGACGCGTACGTTGGGCGCAGATGGCGCGCTCCGATCGATAATCTTGGTTTTGGTGTATTTCTTGTCTTTTTCGATATTTTTTTGCGCCTTCCTTTTATTAGTGTGTTTTCTGTTCATACTTATTCTTTTATGTCTTGATGAATACTTTTCAGTTGTTCCGCGGACGAGCGACGTCGTACAACCCCGTGTGAACGTGGCTTCAAGACCCAGTGAGTTCATCATGAGCAATTTTGTTTATTCGAGTGAACTGTATGTTTCCAGTAGTTGCTTTCTCTTCGATACGATTTCCTGCTGCGAATAATTAAATTACCAAGATCCGGCGGCCTTTCGCACACCAGCAGGAAATCGTATCGAAGAAAAAGCAACTTCTAAAATTATAGAGTCCACTCGAATAAACAAAATTGCTTATGATGAACTCACCCGGTATAGCCACTTCGGGGTAGTACGACGGGGTTCTACGAAGTCGCTCGTCCGCGGAACAACTGAAAAGTATAACAAGACATAAAAGAATAAGTATGAACAGAAAACACACGAATAAAAGCAACACGGCGCAAAAAAAAACATCGAAAAAGACAAGAAATACACCAAAACCAGGATTATCGATCGGAGCGCGCGATCTGCGCCCAACGTACGCGTCATGCGCCAGAGCGCGTATTGACGCTCTTCACACTGTCGGTGCGGTCGGCGCCGTCGGCACCGACTGCACCGACCGCACCGGCGCGAACTATGAAAGCAGCCTAAAACGCGCCATGCTGTGGGGATCACTCTTGCAGAGTTGAGGTGCAATGATCTAGGTCAATCCAGCGCTAGAAGAGATTAGTTAGGTGAGAGTGCCATACGCGTGAATACATAACACCTTTTAGATAGTATGTGAACATGTACGTCCGCATTCGTCACTTCTCAAATCCTATGCTGTAGTCCCATTTCTTTCAGGGACTACCGTAACCAGGTCTGTGCCTTGTTTCACTGAATGCAGCCTGATACTTTGAATCAAAACGATCGCCGTCTAAACGCCACACATGCGTTGCGCAGTGCCGCCAAGAATTCTAAATTCACTTCCGTTGGTCCCCGATGACATAAGAGCACTGAGGGAATCTTCATTTTACATGTGCGCAGACCCATCTTATTCCCTATCATTCCGCAGCCGTTCAACCTCACACTATCGAGAATCGGTGAAGGCGACGGTACGCAGGTAGGTTCAAGAAGGGGTATCAACAAGTATGGCACCTTCACCAAGTTGACTCTTGTAGCAATAGGTTGATCTAAAGCATTGCAGATCAACAGTGCGAGAGCACTGTCGACAGCATGGTGTGCCTTTAATGGATTGACAAATTCAGCTGTGCCTCTGGGCGTGATCGAGACATCGATACAATATAGTCTTTTGTAGGAAAGGAATCAGGGAAACTTCCAACCATAGACTTTGGTTCTTGTTGAACGGTTTCATTTCTGTTTACATTATATAAATTTGGAAGTTGCATCGAAAAGTTTCCTTGACACTCTTCGCCAAGTTAACAAAATGACATGTACAGTCCACATCCGAGAGTTGCGTAGGCGTGTCACTGAAAGTGACGTGGACTTGATAGAAGTTTGCGTGGATAAGCTGTTGCCAGCATGCTTTACTGATATCCAGCGGAAATGTTAGAAACAGCTTATCCTCAAGACTTCTATCAAGTGCGACTGCCCACCACATCATTTCCGTTGAAACCCAACTCTCGGATACGTGCTGTACCTTTGCCGTGGATAGAATTTCCTTAGTGTCCAAGTTCGACTTTGTATGAATCTTGGCATATTTTCAGAATAGAATAGTTTAGTACTGAGCTTCCGACCAAGATTGTCAATAGCTTTATTTGGCCGACGTTTCGGTGCTTTCACCTTCTTCAGAGCCTTTAGAGATGCTGGCCAGAGAGGTCCACCTGCCATCTTAATCAATAATAAGGGTTCAGGGGGTTCAGCGGCGCGCCTAGCCTCGAGGGGTCCTTTGGAGTGATTTGATCTACATGATCAACCCTCCGGAGGTCCCTAAAGCAAATGACCTGAAGGCTTTACCTATTTAAGCCACGTTACTACCAGCTCGGGGTGGCAGGTGGACCTCTCTGGCCAGCATCTCTAAAGGTTCGTTCTCATCTCCCTCCATGACATCGTTTTAGTAGTTTACTCCCTGTTGAATGAATCTTGTAGGTTGAAATAGTGTTTGGACGGGTAGTTTCCTAAATAGCTTTCGACTTTTCCAGGCTCTGAAGAAGGTGAAAGCACCGAAACGTCGGCCAAATAAAGCTATTAACAAAAAAAAGAATTTCATTAATTTACTTACAGCTCCGGAGGAGCGCCAACCAGGTAACGAGCCGCTTGCGACATCGTGGGTCTTCTCTTGGGATCTCCTCTCCAGCACGTCTTTATCACTCTCCGAACAACGATTGGTACAGAAAAATCGATGGGAGGACGAAATTTGTTGTCGGATATCTGTGGAAAAAAATAAACACTCCTACTGAAGAAATTCACTTCAACATAGAATCACTCCCACTTTCTCTATTCAAATCCCTACACGAAATGTGCTATACCTGCCTGGGTTTTCCAGGAAAATCAGATATGATAAGTACCAGATTAGCTGCACACGTCTTCGTGTTTTGCGGGCGCATACGTAACATAGTATTTGTGCTCGCACAAGAGGTGAACAACGAGCTATCTCATTCCTTTCACAGTCACTTATTTTGTACCTATCTCTATGCATACGAATTTCACCGAAAATTGTCCAACTGGTTGAATGGTGGTCAATTCCATATCTTACATTGAGAGGATTCTATATCATATTGAAACCACAGAAATGTTGGAGGAGAGGGGCATACATTGTAGCGCGATGGGGAAAAATCATGAGCTCATACCAAATCACTGATTGGGCTTTACGAGCTTAGTGCTAAAAAAAACCGACATGTCCGTATACATTGGCAATGGGAATCTCACCCGCAGTGGGCAAGCATGCACAACACAAGTGGGCGATGATGACAGCAAAATTTCGCTTTGGATTCCGGAACAATCCAGAAACCCAAAAACATGTGGGTACACCATGCTTTCCAATTAAGAAAATCCCGCGATGGAGTAGTGCTTTCTTCAGGTGGACAGTTTTTACCAAGAAAGCGCATAACTTGGTATAAGTGGTACGGAAAGGGGAAAAAATGGTGAAAGTGGGCGATAACCAGGAGGATCTTCGGAACAGGATTTCCGCGATAAGGTGGTGAAGTTGAAGAAGGAGAAATTTATCAAGTAGAATGGCGAGCGAACACCTTGAAGGTGCGGGACGATGCGCGGTTTGCAACGAGGTACTCTCCAACGGCCTGAGGGTCATAAACGCGCCGCGGCACACTCACCTTCTACCCCTCTGATCCTTGCTTTCTATATATCCATTAGAAAAAGTATCACTAAAAAGGAAACTTGTGAACCCAGGTGTCTTACGTTATCGATCTTACACGATTTGAAGGTATGTGACCACCCACCAGTTTCTATGTGACACACTGACCACTTCAGAAGGTAGTTGCGCCCAATGTGTAAGGTGTACCACACCCTGTATATGTCCTCTATCTGCGATCGCGTATGGCGCTGATAATCTCTCCAGATCTTGGAACATCTGAAACATCTGAGAATTCAAACAAACCTTGGACCTGATAGTTTTGTTGTCTATTCCCGTGAACGGAATCTCTCCATTGTTGAACACTTCCCAGATGGTGATGCCATAAGAGTAAACGTCACACTTGACCGTGTAAATTCTTGTCGCTATCACTTCAGGGGCTTGCCTGAAAAAAATTTCTCAAACGGAATTAATAACAAAAAGAGTTGGAATTCGTAGCAGACCATCTGATAGGAATGGGTTCATCATCGGGTATTTTGTAGGACTCCGCTTGTTTTGAAAGTCCAAAATCAGTTATTTTCACCACATTCTTGTCAACATCAATGAGACAATTTCGGCAAGCAATATCCCTAAAATAACTGATCAAAGAGGCAGTATAGGGAAGCAAGAGGCAACGAACCTATGCATACACCCTTTCGAATGTAAATAAACCAAACCATGTGCAACATCGGCGGCAAATCCAATCTTCACTTTCGAGGAAATCTAAACAGTAATTCATAACATCAAGAAGGATCCCAAAGCGTAAGTTAAAGAAGTATTGTATCACAAAATGTTGTAAAAGTCTGGATAACAAAAGAAAATTTCGGCTGCATTATTGGAAGAGTTTACGATGAAAAGGCAGCTTACTAAAAATCAAGATTGCGGCGGTCAGAGGTGCAGGAATGAAAAGCAATAAGAACACAACCTGCAAAATCGGACTCCTTCCTTGCTCAACGATTTCCGTATAATGCGACTTTCATCGCTTTCAGGTCTCAACGTAATGTTCGTCGCTAAGCAACAGTCCCCACTAGGTGGCGTGTCCGTCGGAGACGGTTCATCCCCAGCTTTCCACTTCGGAGCTGTTCAGCCCTAGTCAAAGAACGTAAGAAGCGTGTGACTGAACAAAAACTCACCTTGGAAAGCCGCTAGGCAGGGAGCTGAAGTGGGCGTGGTCGGAATCGGCCGAGGGGATTGCAGTCGTTTCCGACCACGCCCACCTGCTGGGACTGTTGCTTTAACAGGTCAACCGTCACGGTATTCGAAACATATCGGCATGTTATGCGACCCCCTCTCGAGAGGGGCCAGTTGCGACCCCTCCCAACACACAGTTGCGACCCCACCAATACAACCAGCCTTCCTCCACCGCGACCTCTCCCTCTTTTATAGTATTTGATTCTGAGACCAGTTGACACAGCCCAAAACCTACCTAAACTCCGAAACCCCACACACTTTCCCCAAAAACAGCCATCGAGCCGGGGGGGGGGCTATACAACCAGTGAAACAGCAACTTTTTCTGCCCTGCACCTCACCAAGGCGCGCAATGCGACCCCCCTCCCCTCCTAGATCACACAAATGCGAACCAACTCGTTCGGACTGTTCGAACGGACGGTTGACCCTGGCTTCAACCTATTGCCCATCGCATGCTGCACTAAGTGTTAAATTTCTGAAACACCCTCAAAAACCGTGTGCACAAGGTACAGCACGGATTTTGAAAGGGTGGTTTGGACATTTTGTCGCGCTCTAATTTTATAAGAACGAACTTCGGAAGCCGGAGAACAACATACAAATTGAGTGCGCAAGGAAGGAGATTCTTATTTGCTATTAATAGTTGTGGACAACTCGATTCACACCCTCTTAGATTACTTGCCAAATTTCTTCAGACCCTTGGAAGCCATCCCATGCGGCAGATATTCCTATCAATTCTCGCGCTAACAATAAGGATTCAGAGCGCCGTTAATTCCCATAATGATATAGATAAGAGAAGACCTTCTCACCAGGCAACCATAACAAGTTACATCGGTTCAATAGGAGCTATTTGTCGAAAGTTGGGGCTGGTGTGGGGGGGATGAAGCCGGGGGACCCTCATTGCATGCGCGCTGAGGCTACACCTACCCTCGTCGCCTGCATATTATGTCCTCAACTGAAGGCTTGTACTCGCGGTAGATGGATGTGTTGTGAGAATAGCGCTGGTACCTAGTTAAGTTCTTTCTTTCACCTGACTCATCACTTTTCAGGGCGGAGACCGGCGACGCCGACAGGAAGAGACGTCTGGCAGCAGCGCCGAAGACCGCGACATCTTCTCGAACTCCTCACCATCCAAGGGCCACGCCTCAACATCAAGAGCTGCATACGATCCGCTCCTCTGCTTTGTCTTGCCAACGGTTATTTATATCGTATTATTTTTTTATGTGTTTGGTATGCATGTTTCATAAATCTGATAAGCTTTGTTAAGGATGGAACTCAGTTAACCAACTTTCGTGAGCAACAGAATGATCCTGCAGCTTGCACGGCGCGCACTCGCTTACAGCGTGAGCGTTAATGTAGGATGAACTGGAGGCGGGGGAGGGTCCGAACTAGGCACTTCTCTCGTTCAGCCGCATTTGACCTTGGTGTAAAGAAGGGGCGTATTGGACGAGTTCCACAAGCGGCTAGTTCCTGTTGCTTTAACGTCAAGGACACTGATGGTGAGTCGCAACACAAACTCTGTAGCAACTGCGGCGTGCCCTTCTCGCAGCGCCACGTGTCAGCCGACAGCCGAAGGCGGAGCTTGCGTATCAAGGTGTGGATTGTGGGCTCTTTCCCACAGCACTGATCAAAGGAGCTCATGGTTTTCTCAAGAAAACCAAGTTGTTCAGGACGAAACTGAGCAATTGTTCAGAAACTTGCAGAAATCCTACTATATATAATCGGCTAAGCGGTTGTGTGTGTGTGTCTGTGTGTGTATGTGTTTGTCTGTCTGACCGGAAATTCATAGCTCGGGCACCAGTGGTCGTCAGGAGTTGGTTTCAAGAATATAGGGGGTGGGACGGGAACATATTTGGTGGGGTAAAGAAAGTGATCACAACTGATAAGGGCTGATAAAAGGCGCTAGAACGCAAGTGTCGCGAAATTCATAGCTCGGCACCAGTGGTCGTCAGGAGTTGGTTTCAAGATATGATATAGGGGGTGGGACGGGAACATATTTGGTGGGGTAAAGAAAGTGATAACAACTGATAAGGGCTGATAAAAGGCGCTAGAACGCAAGTGTCGCGAAATCATAGCTCGGGCACCAGTGGTCGTCAGGAGTTGGTTTCAAGATATGATATAGGGGGTGGGACGGGAACATATTTGGTGGGGTAAAGAAAGTGATCACAACTGATAAGGGCTGATAAAAGGCGCTAGAACGCAAGTGTCGCGAAATTCATAGCTCGGGCACCAGTGGTCGTCAGGAGTTGGTTTCAAGATATGATATAGGGGGTGGGACGGGAACATATTTGGGGTAAGAAAGTGATAACAACTGATAAGGGCTGATAAAAGGCGCTAGAACGCAAGTGTCGCGAAATTCATAGCTCGGGCACCAGTGGTCGTCAGGAGTTGGTTTCAAGATATGATATAGGGGGTGGGACGGGAACATATTTGGTGGGGGTCACGAAGTGATAACGACTGATAAGAGTAGATACGAGGCGCTGAAATACAAATTTCACGAAATTCATGTGCGCTTCGCAGCAGTGGTCAGGAGCTGATTTTGGGACATGATATAGGGGGTGGGACGCAAACATATTTGGTGGGGGTCACCAAGTGATAACGACTGATGACGACTGATATAACGACATGCGTACGAACGTAGAGAGCACTTGAAATAGAGAATAGAGAGCAGATTGTAGATAATGCCTTTCATTTCAATATCATTTCATCAGCGTTGTAATTGTAAACTCAAGCACCTTTCGACCGCTACACCTTCTAGAGTTCTTGAGGATGAATGGGATGCTCGAATAAATATGATAATGAATACTAGGCATTCCGTTTTGAGATATTCGACCGCTAAATTACCTCGATACTCGACGCATAGTGGTTGTTTACATCATCACTTTAGCTGTGCACTTCACTGCGCTTATCAAACAGTGAGATACAGCCAAGATGGGCAGCCTATGCAACGGACAGTAATACATTTAACGAAGCAGCTATAATTTAGCGGTGAAACCTAAAGCTTCATCGATTGTCAGTTCTATCAATGCGCGCGGTAGCGGGCGGAGCTAAACTGGTGGTTAGATACACAAAAGTAGAATCAAAACTTAGCCGTCAGATTTATCTCAATAATTTGCCTTCAAAAATGGACTGAAATAGTTCTTTTACTGAGTTCGATGTGCTGCATTGCATGCCTACATACATACATACTTTCCGATAGTCGGACAATATCAATTCGCATCACCACTTTTCTGTTCACGTTTGAGTGAATGTTTTCCACCAGTTGTGGCATGAAATTGAACAGATCCAAAGCGACGTGAGACAATCCCAAGACAAGTCCCAAGAATTAAGACCATGCATCATCATGTACTCATCATGAGCATCTCATTCAATCAATGAAATATCATCATCGCTGCCAATTATAAAACTCACGTCCTTATTTTTCTTCAAATAATCATTCAGGGCACCTCCGTTAACCATCTCCATTACTATCATGGCGATATCTGTACTCTTGTTCACGATCCCGTAAAACGTTACCACATTCCTAAATTATATTGTCAGCAGGGAAAATAAAAAGCAAATATTTTAGTGTTAAGTCAAGCAGATCTTGTCGTTGTTAAGCGACCCGATCCCAGCGTCTAGAAAACACTGGACACCGCGCAGCTTCTTCATTTCAACAAGTATAGACAAGATGCTTTTGATGTCAGTATAGATGATCAACGAATTGTCGTAGCGCTTGATTAGCGCCTTCGATTGGTCAAAAGAGCTGAGTTCACAGGCTGCAGTTGGGAAAATGCGGTGAATGAATACGCTTCTTTTCGAAATACCCCAATATGAATTTAGTGGGGTATGGCGACGACATAGGTGACGAGATCCTTGCTTGTGTGTTGCCATTCGATTGCTAATGTGATTGCTGGGAAACAACCAAAGCACTTGCGCAGCGATTGACGTTTTTATCGGACAGAGCCGCCTAAGAGGCACATCCATCGCCATAATAATCATCCACGTGAACCCACGTGACTTCTCGTGATCCAATTTCGGGCAGCTCTTCATTGGCATTCATCGAAAGCGACGCTAGTGACTTTGGGCTGGCGAGCAATCCCACTTGAATTTCGTTTACCCATTGTAGGTCTCAAAGGAAGCTTGATTGTGGCACTTCAGGCTAAAAAACCCGTTGATTATGGATAAAGTGGAGCCGCACATAGAGCCATGAGCCGATTCTCATTGCGTAACTGCGCTTCTTGATATTCAATCTTGTAACCATACTCATGCCCATCCTGTAGTGCAGTCAACCTTTTAGGGATAGACGCAACAAGCCCAATTTGTCAACTTCGCTCTGCTTATAAATCTGGTGTATGAAATGCATAGGTGAGCATTAGGAGAGAGAGAATTCGAAAGAAGGCGTCCAGTTTTGGATATCAAGTGGTTCAACCTAGCAAAACCCTACTTACATTCTTGTAGAAATTTGGATCGAATCTGAGAATCAGAATAGGAAAGTTACTAAATGTATTGCGGGAAATTTGAAGAAAAATAAGAATCGCACTTGTGTTTATATTGCCGCATTAGACGAGCTTCTTTGTACATTTCATCGAGCTTTACCTTATTTTCATCGCAAACCTTTTTCTGAAATATTTTTTGCTTTGCCGGTGAAATTAAGATTGTGAATCACGAGATGTAACAGAACACTTAAGAAAATTCGAAAAATCTCACCACTTTTATGGCAACTACTACTGGAGGTTTGTCACGTCCACAGGACAGTGAACCCTGCCAAACCTCTCCAAAGGTTCCTGATCCAATTTTCGTATTCATTGTAATTTTGTCACTTGTAAGCTCCCATGGTTGCTTCGAAATAGGTTGTTGTAGTAGAGCACCGCCATTTACAGGTGTTTTAGAGGAGTAGTGGAATCTGTATCTCAAGGAGGCACAATTAGTTCTCTGTTGTTCACTGCATAACGTCAGAAAACCCATAACACTCACTTTACTAAACTCATAATGTCACTTTTTTTATTGCGGCCATCTATAGTGAATGTTTGGTCTTTCCCGAGTCTCGTGTAATGCACCGGTTGATCATGAACTTTGTCTTCCCATTTGACAGTCACGCATGCCTAACCACATGGAAGACTCAATACGCGTTTAACAGGATCAACACTTTGTGTAAGTGCTACCATTGCCATTTTTTCTCCCTCTGGTTCTAGTTCTCGGATTAAAAAATCTCCATTATTTTTTAAAAGTCCAATGATGTCTTCCAATGGTAAACATCCGTGATACCATTCTTCTTTCTCCATATCCTTAAATGAGAATCCTTGCCATCACAAAGTTTACTTTCAATCAGTGTAGACCATAGCTGTTACACTTACGGCAAGCATTCGCTCAAGTTTTTCGTCCACGGCATTACTAGGCCCTTTCTTAGGCGTCTTTGCTGACTTCAGCTGCAAAAAAAATGCCCGCAGCAATTTCCATACTTGAGAATAACGACATTTCATAACAGCACTTGGTTTCCGCAGCCAATGTAAATGTATGTAGTATGATGTATGTAAAAATGTATGTGCAATATGTCATGCTTACTATATATATATAAAACAGTACAATACTGATACTAATTTTTGTTCAATCGACGGTTTGCGACGGTCGGAAACCGTCGCAAACCGTCGGCTCGCCATAACTCTTTAAAAAATGGTTCGCTCGACCTGCAGTTTATACCATCTGATAGCTCTGCTCGAGATCTACAAGATGGTTAAATTCAATTTCTGAAAGAGCTCCATCTAGGATTGCGCCATGCACTCGACCTCCATCCCGAGAAGTAATGAATATACTTTGTATGTGATGCGCATATAAGTCCTCCTATGCAGCCTGATCATCCCACAGAAACATGGATCTCAACACCCTCAGAATACGCCACGTACCCAACCGGTCCACCATATGGTGAGATTGAATGAATGTTTTTTTCGAATTTCACGATCTTTACTTCGTTCTAGAGCGCTAATTGGCTAACCGTGCGCTGATCAACCCATTCTTCCACTCCAAATGAGAATCTTCGAACAGTTTCCAGCAGTAGTAGTAGACCTATTATGTGACATTCCCCACATTTAGAGGAGATGATTTGCGGAAACCTGAGAAGATAGCGAGGAATCTCTCCACTGACGTAGACTACGGTTACTTCTCTGTAGGATTATGTAAAATATTTGGTCGCAGGTGAGCGTTCCTTCCGTGGTGTGGCCCCAAACATCACTGCTCGTCATGCCCTTGTGAATGATCAGTTTTTTTGCTTGTCCAGATGGACTTGGAACCTGAAATGTGCACCATTCGATTTCCCATGAAAAATACTATCGAATGGTGTACAACACAGGTTGCACACGAAACTTTGTTTTTCACCTTTTTCTCCCCATTGGCGATCGTCTTTCCAGCCCTTGGCGGCCACGTGCGATTCACGTGCACCTCGCCGACCCGTTACCCTTCGCATCTCTCTCAATTGACTATTTAATTGATTACTACTTAAACTATCATTCGAAAAAGGTAAACAGCTGATATTCAAGTCATCGAATTTATTTCCCTCGACAACTCCAGAGCTAATCTACTGAACTCGCAGTGATGGAAGGCTGGTTGGACTGGACGGCGTGCGGTCGATTACTCGATCCCCTGGCCGTGCGTGTGGTAAACGCCGCTTCTTGCCACTCCGTCAGCTGCATATAACCAATAATGATAAAGGATCCTACTTACTATAAAGCGTTTCGTCTGTCGTTCTGTCTGTCGTCTGTCGTCTGTCGTTCTGTATGTCTGTCACGAAATTCCCTACTTCTGGGGACCGGGTCAAGTGTGGGATGGGTGGGCAAGGTCTCACGAAGTACAAAACACACATCAGCTAAGCGGAGCCCCGCCCACAGAGGGCGTGGCGTGCGTCGAAATGAACTGTACCGAAGACCAAGATTTCGATTTCAGTGACAAAACGACCTCGAAACTGGGCCAAAAAGTGGGTAAAGGTGTGCATTGGTAAGTCACATCGAATTAGGGAGACCCACCCCCGGTGGGCGGGGCGTTCTCTAAAAAAGCAGTGCTTTATGAAAAATTTCATAACTCGGTTGGGAGAAAGCCTACAGAGCAGAAAACAATTTGGTGTAAGGGAGCAATGTCTAAGGTGTTTCCCGCATACATGACGTGGGCGGAGGCCTGCCCAGAATGGGCGGGGCGCGCTCTGAAGTGTACAGCATTTTCTACAAGCCCTCATAATTCGGGTCGGGGAAGTCCTAAAGAGCCGGAAAAAGGTGGATAGAGGTGTATGGAGGAGTGGAGGTTAGCTGTCATTGGTGGGCGGGGCCTGACCAAAGTGGGCGGAGTTTGCGACGAAAATTTATAACTCGGCTCCATGAAGCTCCGGAGGCTGGGGAAAAGGTGGATAGAGGTGGGTGGAGGAGTGGAGGTTAATTGTCATTGGTGGGCGGGGCCTGACCAAAGTGGGCGGAGTTTGCGACGAAAATTTATAACTCGGCTCCATGAAGCTCCGGAGGCTGGGGAAAAGGTGGATAGAGGTGGGTGGAGGAGTGGAGGTTAATTGTCATTGGTGGGCGGGGCCTGACCAAAGTGGGCGGAGTTTGCGACGAAAATTTATAACTCGGCTCCATGAAGCTCCGGAGGCTGGGGAAAAGGTGGATAGAGGTGGGTGGAGGAGTGGAGGTTAATTGTCATTGGTGGGCGGGGCCTGACCAAAGTGGGCGGAGTTTGCGACGAAAATTTATAACTCGGCTCCATGAAGCTCCGGAGGCTGGGGAAAAGGTGGATAGAGGTGGGTGGAGGAGTGGAGGTTAATTGTCATTGGTGGGCGGGGCCTGACCAAAGTGGGCGGAGTTTGCGACGAAAATTTATAACTCGGCTCCATGAAGCTCCGGAGGCTGGGGAAAAGGTGGATAGAGGTGGGTGGAGGAGTGGAGGTTAATTGTCATTGGTGGGCGGGGCCTGACCAAAGTGGGCGGAGTTTGCGACGAAAATTTATAACTCGGCTCCATGAAGCTCCGGAGGCTGGGGAAAAGGTGGATAGAGGTGGGTGGAGGAGTGGAGGTTAATTGTCATTGGTGGGCGGGGCCTGACCAAAGTGGGCGGAGTTTGCGACGAAAATTTATAACTCGGCTCCATGAAGCTCCGGAGGCTGGGGAAAAGGTGGATGGAGGTGGGGGGGAAGTGGAGGCCAGCTGTCATCGGTGGGCGGAGCTTGACCAAAGTGGGTGGAGTTTGCGACGAAAATTCAGAACTCTGTTCCAGAAGGTCCCGGAGAGTGGGGAAAAAAGAAGATATAGTTGGGTGGGAAAGTGGAGGTCAAAGGCCAGTGGTAGGCGGGGCTTGGCCAAAGTGGGCGGAGTTTGCGACGAAAATTCATGACTTGGCTCCAAGAAGTCCCTGAGGCCGCGGAAAAGGTGGATGGAGGTGGGTGGAGGAGTGGAGGCCAGCTGTCAATGGTGGGAGGGACATGACCAAAGTGGGCGGAGTTTGCGACGAAAATTCATAACTCGGCCCCAAGAAGTCCAGGAGGCTGGGAAAAAGGGAGTAGAGGTCGGCGAAGGAAAGGAGGTCAAATGCTATTAGTGGGTAGAGCACGCACCCAAGTGGGCGGAGTTTGCCAAAAGTATCGCAATTCGGTTGCAAGAGGTCCTAGAGATAGGGGAAAACGGGGTTAGAGGTTGGTGAGGGAAAAGAGCTCAACTGCTATCACTGGGTAGAGCACGCACCTAAGTGGGCGGAGTTTGCCAAAAGTGTCGTAATTTGGTTCCAAGAGGTGGGGTAGAGGTCGGCGAAAAGAAGGGAGCCAAATGCTATTGGTCGGCAGGGCACGCACCGAAGTAGACGGAGTTCGCCACGAGATTTATTGTCCGGGCCGAGGACCGAGAAAAATAGGATAATGGTTGACGAAGAAAGAGCGCATAGAATTTAGCGGAGAATTCAGATATTCGTATTGTATCAAGCCAAATTTGAAATTTTTCGTCGCACCATCAAAATTCGCCACAGATCTGTGTTGCGCGCGCAATGCGTGCGGCGCCAACTGGTACTATATAAAGCCTCAAGCTGTCCGTTCTGTCTCGTCGCTGTTGTCTGTAGTTCTGTATGTCTGTCACGAAATCCTGTACTTCTGGATTGGGTAAAGCGTGTGATGGGTGGGCAAGGTCTCGCGAAGTACAACCCGCGGAAGAAAAAAGCACCAGCAGCTCAGGCCGGCTGTCATTTGCGAATCGAGCGTTGGCGGCCAGCGAAAATCGAACTTGGCACTACGACATCGAACTTGTTGTGGCCAGCCGAGTCAGAAAACGATTGTAACGGCAAAGCGAGTCGCACTAAAAGGTACTATCGACTCAATAGTGGCGGAACGCAACTTTTCAAAAAAAAAAGGAGACACCCCGCCACTTTCAAACAGCGTCCACTGTCACGTGACACTGTTTGAAAGTGGCGGGCTTCCTTTGAAAGTTGGGTCCCGCCACTATTGAGTCGCTGGTACCTAGTTCGACTCGCTGGTACATCGTTCGACTCGCTGGCGCAAAGTTCGATTCGCTGGTGCAACGTTCGATTCGCTGGCGCAACGCTCGGATCGAGCGATTCGCTAGCGAATCGAACGTTCACCAGCGATCGCATCGAAATGAGTGGCACTGACGACCAGGATTTCAGATACTATACCATCAGCCTCGAAACTGGGGAAAAGTGTAGCAACTAATAGAAACTGATGGGGGGGGGCGTCATAGTGATGATCGATCGATCTTGAACGAGTCGCGCACTTGAACAACCCCCTTACTGTATTTCAAAGAAATAGTGAAATACATATGACAACTAGTTCGCAGTCCCAGAGTAACTGGTACGTGTTTCGAAATTCTCATTTTCAAGACTATTCGAACTAACCACGAAGTCCGGCAACCTCAGCTCCTCAGTGCTGTCTTCATCGTCCTGCAACATTTGTTGATAAAAAAGAAGTACATGAACGCTTGCATATTACCAACCTTCGCGTCATCCAGCACATGTTTGGGAGCTTCAGCGCTTTTCATTCGTGTGGTGTAGAGATAGATGACTCCACGTAGCTCCCGACCACCAACTGAATTTCGACACACTACGCTATGCAATCAAATGATCCACCCTGTTGCAAACAATCGGTTTATCATGTCATTGTTCGCCGGACTGTACTTGAATAGGTCATCGCGTTTGGAAGATTATAGATACTGAAAACTTCTAAAAGGATGAAAGGTTGAAGCATTAGAATCAATCGCTCTTGATCAGGGTCAACCGTTCGTTCGCACTATTGAAACGAGGGAATCGCATGTGCGATTTTGAAGAGGTTGCATTGCAAACAGAGATTGTAAAAGGGGAGAGGGGGTGTTTTGATGGGTTTTCGATCACTTTGGTGAAAGTTTCAAGTAACGTAAATTATGCAGTTGTTGGATTTGCCGCTCCACTGTAACAATTTACCCCAACCCCCACTCTCCTCCTTCCCCCATCACCTGCTGATACACTGCATGAAACGCCACATTTCATGCAGGTTTTTATGCGATAACTTTTAGTTATTTTCACAACGATTAGTCCTTTAATCACTTACCATAATAATCCCGCGTCAACCGCCGGGACCTTCCTTCCCTGCGTAAACTTTACGTCTTTCGCTGTGGTCCCTTCCACCAACACCTCGCGTAGGTGACGCGTATGCTACAGAAGGAGTTTCATATAGTAGAGTTATCGCCATAATCATAATATGACGGTAGATTTTCCGCCTCCCTTCCCCATCCTCCCTTCCTCTCTCCACTGCCCTCCAGCTGCCACTGCAGCACCATGTGGAATGACCGGAAGTGTTCATTAGGTGTTATGTAATGGAGCGTTCATAGTTGGCGATTAGGCGATTAGGCGATTAGTCTAAATGAAAAATATACGTATAGATTAGGCGAGTAGGCGAGTAGGCGAGTAGGCGATCAGGCGAGTAGGCGATTAGGCGGTGAAGACTACATACGTATCGACTTGTATGCTCCGCCCTGAGGGCGTTGTAGGCGAGTAGGCGAGTAGGCGAGTAGGCGAGTAGGCGAGTAGGCGATTAGGCGATTAGGCGATTAGGCGATTTGCACACGGCGCACTCCTTAGTCGTCAAAATTGAGGCGCACATGCATATTAGCTTCTCACCCATACACTAGACTACTAGTTGGTAAAAGCAGATCTTGTCAAAGTGTTGCATACAATCCAGATATCACCTAATCGCCTACTCGCCTAATCGCCTACTCGCCTACTCGCCTAATCGCCTACTCGCCTAATCGCCTACTCGCCTACTCGCCGTACTCGCCTAATCGATACGTATCCTTTACTCATCGCCTGATCGCCTACTCGCCTACTCGCCTAATCGCCTACTCGCCTACTCGCCTAATCGCCTAATCGATCCGTATACTTTTCATTTTGAATCATCGCCTACTCGCCTAATCGCCTAATCGCACGTACGATCGCCAACTATGAACGCTCCATAAGGCGTAGGAGTGTGATCACATTATCCTATTGCAAAACATTGATAGCTCAAGCCCTGCGAGCTACCCAGATTTCTTAGCGGCCTGTTTATTCAATTCCATTTAGCTGCCTTATCACTCACTTCATTTTGCGGACGGACATACATACAGCAGCGGTCAAAAGTTTGGAAACTTTTTTATTTTGATCTAGCGCGGCCTACACATAACGAAATTGCCTCAATTTAGATATACAGGGTGCGCCAAAATTACGGAGACAGCGACTTCGAGTTGCCTAGGATGAGCAAGGTGCAATTCTTTGAAAACAAAAATGCAGTGACGTGCACAGTCCCATTCTGAATCGTCGACATCCATGCAATTTTTGAAATTCCTTGGTTTGTGTTTATACGGGTCCTCAGAAACATCGAGGAACCATCGACTGTGGCACGCAATGTGGCGAGTAGGACTCTACGAATCCTTAGACATAATGTGTTTTATGCAAGCCTCAGCTTCTAGAACGGATCCGACAGCGTACCCTATCGAGCTCAGATCTGAAATGCTATTCTACCACCGTTTAAAGGACGAATTCACGATGAAAAAGCAACCCATTTCAAATTAACCTAGGGATGGTGAGTGGTACACGAAAGAAGGAAGAAACCATGAGAAACGGCCCAGAACCCGAGAAATGGGACCCCTTCCTTGCCCGTTGATTTGAGCATTGATGCGACTCTCATCGCTGTGCCCTCTTCAACACTACGCTCTCTCAGCTATCTAATCACTCGCCACGTATTGAACTACGGCGAGTGATCAGATGATCGGTGGGCGGAGATCGCCGGACCCGCCAGCTTTGAGGCATGATAGGTCGCCGAGGTCAAATTTTTCCATGCGAATTGCGCGTCAGTTCGCAGGAGGTCCGTGGGTCCCTCAACTAGGTCAGTTTCCCTTTCTTCGACCTTCATTCTAATCGCAAATTCCTCCTTTAAGCCGACAAAGTCGAAAAAATCGGTTCTGCATCAATGCTGCACTAGTACTGAACCACCCTTGCCTCGTAAACGGGAGCTCCTACTTGATGGAAGGCCCAGCAACGATTTTCAAAGTGAAATAAACTCAGGATAGCAATGGGCTCTGATAAGTCCAAAAGAGCCCCCTGATTCCTATCTCTCGTGACATCCAGTGAAACCAGCGCGTCAACTACCTGCAAATTCTATCGCACACAATCCTTAGATTGTTCGTGGTCGCCACAGAAACACGCCCTTCTCATCCAGAATGACTGCATTCAGCTCCTTGTTGTCCCCTGTACCATTTGGAGCATCTATTGATAGTGCTCGGGTATACACCAAAACGATGATAATTGTCGCGTGCCAAAAACCCTCAACGTCGAAGTCCAATGATTTAGGGACGGTGTCAGTATCAGTCAACCGCTGCAGCTACCATAGATTTTGGTGGTTGAACAAGGTAAGCATAAACAATTCTACACCACAGTACCAAAACTAGGACAGAAGAAAACAGCATCTGTGAATATCAGTTCAAATTGTTTGCTCATGCGTTGTCTCCGTAATTTTGGCGCACCCTGTAACATACAAAATCAAGTCAAGAATACGATGGGAGAATAATTTCCAAAAATCTATAATCATATTTGAGAAATAAGATTTTTTCAAGTAATGGCGCGTCAAAAGTTTGGAAACTTTTTGTTTCCCTCATCATTATGATTCCTACTCTTCAATGTTTACTTGTTTCTGTTAATTTTAGTTCAACCATTGAGTAATGTGTAATTTCAAAATGAATTCATATGCAAAGGAAGCAGTTTTTCCATGGGAGGTCCTTTTTTAAACCCTACAATCCGGAATACGAAATTGAAATTGTTTCTTAGTAGTTCAGTCTCTACGGAAGCAATATTATCGAATGTTTCTAGCGTTTTGGAGTCGAGTAAGCATAAGAAGAATGATCATTCACAAAAAAGTATTCTCACAAGAAAATTGGCCCTCCTCAAATACTTCGAAGGGTGGTTGGCACGTCCCGTACCCCCGATATGCCCAACTAAGAGACGATTTTTTCTGGTTTGAACCTAATCGTATGAAAGTCCAAGCACAGCCCAACATCGGCCACGACCTGGTGAATATCACGGATGATATCCCAACAAGAAGCCATTGTTGGGCTTCAAGAGCAGGATGGCCCAACTGGCTTCCGCACACTAACGGCTAACATGGACCGAAGGCGAGAGGTAAAACTTTGTCCTCAGCGACGAGGGGATTTCTATCTTCCTAAAAATGATGTTGTGGACCCTGTGAAGTGTTTGTCAAATGGAAACCTCATTTTGAGTATAAGATTCCAACAGTCAGAAATAGTGGAAGTATTGTCATGGATGAAGATGTGTCCGACCATTCGGCGATTCCCCAGTTCTATGTATCCAGCGAAATGTGGGTTGGGCTAAGTACAAGAATAGTCTGTAGAATACAATGCTTCCTTCGATAGTCAGAACTAGCCGAAAAGATGGGTTTTCTATCGCGGAAATGACCCAATGCAGGCCTACCTCCTCACTGCCGCCTTCCTAAACCCAGAAAAAAGCTGTTATGAAGCGACCAAGTCAAGATCTAAAGTCTAATTGAGTTCTACATCCCACGGAAGAACTGGCATGTCGCTCAACCCACATTCCAGTTAAGAATCCCACCAAACAATGTGATTTAGTTCACAGTGTGCAGGGTTCGACTTAAAAGTCCTAAAATTTTATAGTCAACTCCATGTCAATAAAAACGACGCTGACATAGAAACTCACAG